TGACGTCTTCAAATTGCTTGTTTTGTCTGACCAATAGTCCAGAACCACCAAATATAATTTTTTGTGACATAAGACAAATAAATGTATTGATTGAGAAGCTGGAACTAGCAAGTAGTATTTTTGCTTGAAAAATTGCTTATTTTCTAATCAATTATTCAACTAATTGTTTCAGCACTAGTGTAATGGGGAGAACTAATGGATACACCTGTAACAAGCTCAACTGGGAGCATGGAGATGCAAGTTGTGCATTTATTTCAACAAAAATATGAACATATGAATGAACGGTGGAGAAGACGATGGCTCCTGTTTCATTCACCCGCTTCATAATTTGACTCCCTGACCTGAGAGCTGCATAGTAAACCACAGGAAAATGTATGAGTACTGTTAGAATGAGCCTCAAATACAGTATTGCTACCACAGATATCGACCACAGATATTTTAGGATGTTGGACTGCAGTGTATATGCCGCTGATTTGGTTTGCAAGCCAGCATTAGAGAGAATATCACTGCAGTCAGAAGGTGTCTGCTCCATGTACAGCAGATCGAGTCACTGAGTTGTTGTGCTCAGTTCTCCAGACTCCTCCTCAATGCTCACAAATTCCTTCATGAAGAAATCTGCATGCAGCGTGGGTGTTATTACTGTGCGTTGAAAGCATGTGCTTCAATTGCTTTTCGAGTTTGGCAGTTGGAGCGTGCTACGGCCCAGCAGCACACACATTCATCATGACAAAAAAGTGGAAAATAACCAGAATTATCTTTGAACACCTAGTAGTAATGCCTAAGTGCTACGTTTCTGAGCAGATTCAGTGGTGAAATTCCTGATAAAAAGTAAAAACTGGTGGTGGAGGAGGATATACAACATCTTTGTGACTTTAACTTTAAGCTGAAATCTGTAATTATATATATTTTTTCATTAAAAAGTCACAATTATGTCTGTATGGCGTGCAGTGAAAGGGTAAAAACAGTGAATTTACTGTGTTTGGAGATGCTCACTGTGCTGCTGAAATCTGATTTGTCAGGTCTCAGCTTTCTGGTTGACATTTTCACTGCTGTCTAACCTCATCGCTTCAATGTGGAATGAATCACTTCAGTGTGGAATAATTATTACTGTTAACATTACCTAGTTGATTACTCAGAGTAATGGTTTATTAAAAGATTCAGATTCAGCACATGAAAACTAATTATCAGGAAAAATACATTGTTATAATGACATTGTTAGACATTAGACTTTGATATATAACAATGTGCTAAAAACATACATTAGTCTAGTATAAGTACGTACAATACAATAAATATAGTTAACATCTTGTTATTACACTGAGTTTGGATGTGCACTAATGGATGTGTTAAGAAAATCACTAAGGTTGCAGCTCTAACTGCAGCATTAATTAACATATTTTTACAACAAAATATGTTAAAACGATACTATGGCTGCGTTTCCAATGGAGGAACTTTTCTCCAGGAACCAGGAACCTTTGGAGAAACTCAGGGAAATTAAATAAAGTTACAGGGACGTTATTTTACCCCCAAGAAGGTTGAGGTTGAGGTTGTTGTATGCACAAATTACTAATCTTCGTGGGTATTTAGACTGCAGTGGAAATGCAGATGATCTGGGCTGAAGGACTCTTATAGGTCCTTGAAAAGTGGTTCCTGGAACTACAAGTTCGAACTACTTTGAAATATCATTTAGGAGGAAATATCTACCCATTTGCAAACATTAGCTAACATATCCACCATAAGCTACAGGTTTTATTGATGAATTCAACTTTCAGGCTCAGGGGGATGTCACTGATGAACTTAGTAATATGAACGCATACCCTAGTTTCACAAGACAAAGTACACGATAATATTAAACAAGTGTGAAGGTGTGTGTTGGTTCTTTCCAAACTCTATTTCAAACTCCAAACTCTATTTCCCACATATCAGGCAATGCAGTGGAAGTGAGTTCAGTCCCCCTGCACACATTTATCCTGTCTCAACCTACTTTAATGCTGCTGTCAATTCATTCTTGGGCCAAATCAGTATGTTGCAACACAAAACTCTACTATCTCTCAGCTGACTAGTTACCCGACAGTTCGGAAGGCTGCAAAATTTTTTCTCTCTCTCTGTTCCTCTCAGGGGCAGAGTCAAAAGGGCAGAAGTAGTTCAGTGAGATTGTATTAAAAGTGGAACTTTTACAATGGTCTCATCTATATGTAGCCATGTATCATTTGTTCACACCTTTTGCAATTGAATCGCACTGCTAAAGTGACTCTCCGTGGTGCCTTGTTGCAGTAGCTCTTTCCCATCTGACTTGCAGAGAATGAGCAACGTTATTGCCTGGCCTAGTTCCTCTAGAGGCATGCTAATGGAACTATTTGGCAGCTTGCCTCCGGAGGCAGGAGGGATGGACTTGTTTCACTTGATGTCAGTGTGGGGATCTGGAGGAGAGAAGAGAATTACAGGTTGGCATTGCTTCAATTGGCAGAAAGGAAGCAAAAGAAAAGACACCATGCAATGCTTCAACCACTAGACAGAAAGCCGAGCACAGATTATTTTGGGGATTGTTTCAGTTCAATTATTTTCTGTGGCTTAAGGTTATACCACCATGCAGGACCTGTTAAGTCCATTCCCCTTGACCAAAAAGACATAAACAGCTCAATTTAGATGTAACTCCACCATCTGTTACAGGTGAGCCAAGAGTGTGTATTTTTATGTTTCCCATACCAACATAGAAACACTGCTGATTTGTACAGTAATTAAAACATTGAGCACTAATGGCTTACACATATGGTTCTGGCTTGTTGTTAGTGCCACTTGGTGTCTTCTCTGGAGCAAACAGCTGTGGGTGCTGATTACCAGGAACGGCCTTGAAATGCCTTGCCAGAACATTTTTTTCCTCTGCGTGACTGTCATCTTATTGCTTGGTTGTCACCTTGTTGCCCTGTGGAATCTCTCTGTGTTGACTTCTCTTTTCAACAGCTACGTGTCATTTCTGTCTTAATTTCAATAATGTTAAATGCACAGAATTTGCAATGCCCTCCAGACTATGATGTCCTAAATGAGCCAAGACTAATGCCCGTTCATAACACTATTGCCGGACACAAGGGTATTATGTTGGCTCAGTGGTGAGACCCGCATGACTATGACTGGCTGTGACAGCCATGATGGGAATAATAATACATTACCTGTCTGTCTTTCCTACTGCACTGGCATGGAGTCTGAATTTAGCTGCATACATTTTCATTTAAATGCACCTTCTGGAAGTGTGTTTCCAAGTACTATTCTCAATGGTACAAGCTTGTAATGACATTATAATCTCTGAGAATACTGATAGTGTTCCAATAGCTCTTCTCTTTGGCGTATCCCAAGGCAGAGCATGAGACCAGTGTGAGCTGAGCGCTGATGCTTGGCAGTCCTAGATGCCTGCAGCTTCACCATCTATCAGCTCAGCTTAGGCGGTTTTCACTGCTCAGGCTGACATGTAGTGCCCTGACGGGAAATTCAGGGACATATAACTCTTGTACATGTTAAGTTTTATTACCCAACAGGAAGCATTCTGCTGAAACGGTCTGATATTCTTCTTAGAAAAGCGACATGGTGAATGCTTGAACACTGCAATATCTTTTGGTACACTTGCAAATACAATTGCCGTCTTTGTGAAA